AGCGGGTTCTCTGTCACCAGGCAGTTTAAGCAGGCTGCAGCAGCACTTACTGGGATATTACACTTTATACCAGCTGCCTATAAAGTGATGGACCAGACGTCCTCTTGGTATCTGAAGCTTTACTGGGGCTTGCTCTGGCCTTATTCCTTGCATCTCATCGAGCATTTGTGCTTTGACACTGCAGCCTCTTTTCAGAGAGTCTGTCATCACATTCTGGATCAGCAAGTGATTAGGCCTTTGCTGGTACAGGCCCTAGGCCATAGAAACCACGCCTGCCTTGGCATTCAGCTCAGGGCTGGTCTACACACTACCGGTTACATTGGTATAACTAATGTTGCTCAGGGGTGTGAACAAGCCACCCCCCTACGCGACATAAATTACACTGGCCTAAGCGCCAGTGTGGACAGTGCCATGCCAGCAGGACAGCTTCTCCCGCCAGCAGAGAGATTCTTCACCAGACTCACTACAGCTTCCAGTATAGACGAGCCCTCAGCCCTTTCCCTCTTCACTGTTAGATTGCAATTAATGCTTCTTCTGAGCTTGTTGTTGGGGGGGAGGGATAACTCAGTGGTTTGAGCATTGGCCTGCTAAACCCAGGGTTGTGAGTTCAAACCTTGAGGGGGCCACTTAGAGATCTGGGGCAAAAATCAGTACTTGGTCCTGCTAGTGAAGGCAGGGGGCTGGACTCGATGACCTTTCAGGGTCCCTTCCAGTTCTATGAGATAGGTGTATCTCCATATATTATTATCATCATCCCACATTCAGATTGGTGTGGGGAAGTCACAGAGGAAAGCATTGTTCCAAAATTTGAGAAACGTTGTCTGCTAAACATACGGGGCCTGATTCTCCACTCACCCACAGAAGTGTAACTCAGCAGACAACGGTGGAGGTATACACATGTAACACCACTGACATCAATAGGGCTATTCCAGATTTATACTGATGAGAGTATAGTATCAAGCCTATTATTGGAACGGGAGCCCAGCTATTAGAGTGATCACTGCCTTAGAAATACCGTACATATAAACATTTTCCCTGTGTAGGATCCTCTTGATTTGCCGTGTTCAGCATTTTACAAGACTAATTTTTATCATATTGTAATTTTTTGTGGGCGAAGAAAGTTTTGAATAAAGGTGCAAACTTTGCTACCTCTTGTTAAACCAAATTCTTTGTACCAGGAAAGTTAAGTACTTACAAGAAACTGGAAGAACCTGCTTCAGACAAAGCTGTTGCTATGAGAACAAGCCATATCTAAACACAGCCACTGGCAAATGAGACGCCTCCCACACGGAGGCTGTGGCAACAGAAAGGGGTCCACCATACTGGTCTCTTTTATCCATTTTTGTATTTTCACTGTTTAACGAGGTGCTTTTCAACTACAATGCCATATAAATAAAATGCAAAATAAGTTAATGAAACACTGAGGTTGCAGTTATTGTTGCAAAAAAAAAAAAGCAGGAAATTAGAAAGGTGAAAGGGACACCAGCTACTTAATCATCTCACTGACTGTGATGTACCTACTGTCATTACAGTTCACCTCCCTAAGGATACCATCACTGACAGATTAGAGGAGAGGTTTTATTGTTCGTCCTCCTTTGTTTCACTTGGTTTACTTTGCTCATTTGACAGCATTTTTGTGTCTAGTGAGCTTCATTGCTATACTGATGCTACCATGACCTCTCACAGGACCTGTGCCGGGGAGTTACCAGTGACGGCAACAGAGCTGAAAATGAAGTTGGACAGGCAGCAAACAGGTGTGTGCACAGAAGGAAAGAGAGGTGGGAGGCGTGATTGGCCTGAGCTTGCTTGCTGATATTGCTCTCAGAGCCATCCAAAAGTCCCTTCTAACAGGAAAGTAGAGAGAAATCATAAAAGATTTTTTTTTAATTGCTACCATACTATTTAAAGGGTGATCTAAATGAGCCATTATCATATTGACAGTGTCCCTTTAAGATTGCAACAGTAACATCAGCTTGGCCAGACTGTACATCCTGTATGTTTGGGACTATACATTTAACAGTAATACGTTAATCTATACATTTAATAAGAAAAACATGGCACATGTTCAATTTGGCCACGTTAGTGCTACTGCCAGTACCTTGGCTTGTATTTCCTGACTTTGCAATTTTAACTCTTTGAATGCAATGTTTCATTAACATTTTTTTTTTAAACATTGTAGACGGTTTTTAAATAAAAGTGTAAGGGCACTACAGTTGCAATTAAATATGTAAGTGAGCATTGTGTACGACTGAACTCTCAACGTTTCTATTACGCATGCCCATTACACACAGTTCCAAAAGAGCCAAACTTTAAAAATGTAGTAAATGCTCAGCGAGTTCATCTACGTTTGGGGAAAAGAACTGGCTGAAAATTGCGTAATCACAGAAGTGTGGTCGTTTTCTTCCTCTCCAGCAAAAAACTTATTTCCTATATATATGCACCTTGCTAACCTGTGACAGAGTTTGCTCCAGTTTTTTTTTTTTAAGTGTCTCCTTTGTATGGAATAAAAGAATGGAAAATTTCATCTGAAAGGTGAATTTTTTGGTATCTCATGAGCATGCTAAAACTGAAACCATTCTATAACCCTAACTTTAGCATCCTCTACCAAATAAATGCTATTATAGGCTCCCAATCCTGAAAAGACTCAGGTACATGTATTACTTTACATGTGATAAGAATGCTATACATCAATGGGACTACTCTTGCACGTAAAGTTATGAATGTGCTTAAGTCTTGGCAGGATCAGGGCCATAACAATAACATCACCAGCACAGTGGATGTGAATAGCGAGTACTAGCACTGAACAGGGAGAAAGCGAAGGATAAAAAGACAGCAAACGGTCAAACAGAAGGGAAAAAACAATAGATAAATACCAACCATCTCAACCTGTGGTTCAATACAGCAAAACAGAAATTGTTATAGCTCCCTTGAGGATACAGAAAATGTAATTTACAGGAATCATCTTAAAAAAAAAAACGCACACCCTCTTCCAAGCACACAGACAGCCTGGCTAAGAGCAAAGAGGCTGAGCTTATCCCACAACTCCTGCCCAAATTCCTGCTTTGAGGAGTAACTAACAAGGCCGAATAACTTCCACCACATGCACAACAGATTTTTGGTAACCATTTAGCAAAATCTGCTTTATAGTTCTGTTCAACCTCATCATTGCTGGATAACTTGTTTCCCACACTGAGGTGGGATGGGGATGGCAGACAAAAGCAGAAAGAAAAACAAGGGCGATAACGCTAGTGTTATCCGAACAGAGTAGCTGGATTCTCATGGCTGGTGACTAGGTTCGGAATCACACGGTATGTGATTTAAAACCCCCGGCCATGAGTCTCAGTGCCCAGATCGACAGACTTGGGCTCATGGGGCTCACTTAATGATGCTACAAACAGCTGTGTAGACATCCAGGCTCGGGCTGGAGCCTGACCTCTGAAGCCAGGGGCTCGGGAGCGTGGGGGAGGTTTCAAAGCCTGAGCTCCAGCCTGAACCACAATGCTTACACTGCTGTTTTCAGCGCCATCGCGCAAGCCCAAGATTGTAGACCTGAGTTCTGAAACTCACCAAAGCAGGTTTTAAAATAAAGTGTAAATGAACCCACAGAAAGGGAAGGCTCATTAGAATGGATCTTTCTGTTTGTCTATAGAGACATTCAAATCCTTCAGATGGGGGGCTGGGCTAAGTCCTCACCCCCTGAACTATGCCCGAGGGTCTATCCCACAAGTTAACAACTTTGCTCAACTTCGGGAGCCTGCTTGTACTTTTCTTCCATTGGCCCCTCCCCGGCGCCCAAAACAACCCTCCCACGGGAAACAAGGGACAAATGCAGCTCACCCTAGTCCCCATCTATGCCGCTCCTTCCATTCACTAGATGTGACAGAAAGCAACATGATGTCCCTTCAAACCTTTTCCCATGCTCACTGGCCAGTCTCTCTCTGTCTGAGCTCATCCATTTTGTGGTGGCATAATGCACTATTGTGAACACTTCTCCCTGCTGCTCGAGCCCCAAACTGAGAAAATCCCCAAAGTGTGTCATATCCGGTGTCCTCCTTACCCGGGTGGATAGGTGTGCATAGTTTTGTGACCAAGAGGGGAGTGGTATTCACAGGGGCTCAGACTGACTCTAGAGTAGATAGAGAACATTCAAAGCACTTATCTTCAAGGTACCGAACAGGAGGTTTTTGCTGTGACTCTATAAGGAAAAATATAAGGCAGAATTCTACCATAGGAAGGGCAATTGTTCCTATGCAAAGTTTACTGAAAACATTACAGCTGTGCCTTTCACAGGCTTGAGCTAGGCAGGGTGTACACAGACGGTGGGGATTTACTTGGGAGGAAGTTACCATTTCTCACATCCGCTCATACTTCTCACCACCGCACACCTTGCGGGATTAGTAATGAGGTTACTAGCAAAACTTGTCAGTTAGAACCAGAGAAAGATGCACTGATCTTGATACGCTCTGGTTTGCACAGTTATATGGCATGTGCATTTTGAATATAAATGTGCTAGCAACTGAAAATGAAAGCTTAATTCAGTAGGGGTGATACTACTAAGAATTATTAGCTTCCAACCATAGCTTTTAATATCACTTCATCCATAAATGTGTCACTCTACCTTCCTCAGAGCAGAAATACCTTCCTTCTTCCCTGCACTGGCCATATAAACCTACATGCCTCTATGATATATTAGGATAGCCAGATTGTATTAATGGTGTATTTTATGAACTCCATTAGTGTAACAAATCTAGACTCCAACAAGGCCTTTTCTCCCCTAAATCAGTTTCAAAGCTTACATGAAGTCAAAGTTTCCTATGGCTTCACAAAGGCTGTTTCTTTTCTTTTCCAAGATGTAGCCATTTGTGAAATGCCACCAACACTTTGTGATGCCATTATTTCCCCATCAGTTAGTGAAGCAAAAAGTAAACAAAAAAGCATGAAGAAACAGTTGAATCATTGGGTGTGCATATATGTAGGGGAATTATATAAACAGCACTTACTGGTTTTCACTTGGGAAAGATGGAGTTGAGAAAGGGGCAGATGAATAGAAGGAATTCCACCAATCAGGAGCCAGCATCGAGGTCTGAAAGCACAACAATACCAAGAAAAATTCCAGCATCAGAAAACAGCAACTCTGCTAAATCACACTGGTCGCTCAGAATTCAAGCCGTGTCGCCTCTCCCCGCATGCAACAAACAGTGGTGGCTTTAATCGTTTACAGGTGGTTAGTCTAATGCTACACACCACTTCTGACTTGCAAACCTGCTACGTTGTTACTTATTCCAGGAAGAGCTTTGGGGTCATTATCCTCATAGGTTATTCTCCCCGCCTACCCAGTTAATCACAAACTTTGCAGAAACTGGACTCTGCCTTGGCTAACCTGGAGTTAGCCGGGGCAGATTTATACCTAGACAGCTACATTTACTGCTTCCCAGCTGCTTTCAGTACCAATGGCACGTTCTATTTCAGCGTGAGGCCAAAGCTCCAACAGAAGCATGACGCTAACAGGATATTGTGTCATCTTTCAACTACTGACATTAATCTCCTTTGTCGATTGTTCACTGACCCAAGTGGCATTGACTTGTGAGAGAAAACATGGTAGTTGTTTTTTTTAGTTATTATTTCTATGTCCATATAAGGGCAAAATTCAGATCCAGAGCTGTAACTATTTAGCTACAGAATTCACACCTGATCTGGAGAGAGAGAGGAAGTCCATGCAGGGACTCCAGGCTGTGTGTGTGTGTGAGAGAGAGAGAGAGAGAGGTGATTGGAGTGGCAGGCAAGGAACATGATTTTAGTTACAGCCTGTTGAATGGGCTGCAATTGGGAGAAAGGAGTGAAAAAAATATGATCATTTCTAGAGGTTTTCAAAGGCCAATAATTTCATAAATGACTAGTAATTTGAAAAAAGAACAGGAGTACATGTGGCACCTTAGAGACTAACAAATTTATTGGAGCATACGCTTTCGTGGAC